CCGAATCGGCCACTTTGAAATGGAAACATTTCAATGGAAATGTTTCGCCCCGGGCCGCTTTTAGCCTCGGATCGAACGGCGGTGGTTCGCAGATCAGTTTGATGCACTAATCCCATTTCGAAATCACAGTTTGAACGCGTAAACCACGAAAATAGGAGTGTTGGTATAAAAATGGACTTACCTCGCCTCCATGAGACATGGCGATTGCAGCGCCCTCTTTTGCTTTGACCTTGAAGGGCGGAAACAGCTCCGACGCCGCCTTCCGTTGGGAGAGGCAAGAGGCGGACGTTGCGTACGTGCTCCCCGATAACTTCTTTAAATAAAAATATATTTGTTATTGTTATAATACCGCGTAACGTAATTAGATTGTTATTTATAAGTTGTAACCTAATATTTTACAGGATGACGATTACGATTCGCGGTAACCTATGCAAGGCTTATTCAGCTGTAAACACAATGGGCTGTGTTGTGTCGGACCGAGGCTGAACTCTGCTACTTTCGATTACGATAATGCGTTTTTCACTGCGACATTTATTTTATCGGTGTTTTCTTCCAGTCAACCATTGGCACGTAGGTGTTTGCGGTGCCTAAGCGACGAGAGTCACATGCATAGCCGTGCGCCGTCCGTACCTGTAACATGCACATTGTGCTGACACGCACGTCGACTTTAGTTGCCTTTTCATGTCAAACATTAGGACTACCTACAATATACCTATCTATAGTTCTTCGCTAAATCCACATTTGTTTGATTCAAAATAGGTTTTGCTGGTTTTCGTTGAGCGTTTCTCTACGGGTACATGCATTTGTTTGGCCCGAACCCACTTTGAACGGCGAATGCAAAGAAAGCTTTTACTGATGCTCATCCTTTCCACGTATGGTCACCCGACAGGGGAGGCACTCACTTGATCGAATGACGTTTTAGCGAACGCCCACGTTTCATCGAACGACACTTTAGCGAATAGTCGGACGCCGCGAAGCGGCGTTTTCGGGTGGGCCAAGTGAGTTCATATTTTTGTAATGAGTTGCCGCAGACTGTCGCCGCGAAGCGGCGTAAAGCGCAGCGCGACGGATGGGTTAACGCGCGCCCCCGTTATTCGCTAAAACGACCATTCGCTCAAATGTCGCCGTTCGCTAAAATGTCATTCGCTCTTGTGATATGGACCCTTTCTGCCAGCCGCGCACGCTTCCCGTGTTCTATTTTGTGCAAATAAAAATTGCTTGATTGATCCTACCACCTTTGCTTGCTATTCAAGACCATTATTGATTGTAGTCAGTCGATATTGACCAGATGTTTATAAATCTCAAAAACTTTATTGGTACGAGCTGTTATTTTTAAAATAGTGGCACTGCTAGATGGACATGTATAATGCGCTTTGCAATTAAAACCCACCGTTAATTTTCTTTGGATGCTCATTTAATTAATTTTGACGAGTGGTGATGAGTATTGGCTAAAAATAGATTCCGAAGCACAAAAGGGACATAAACAGCGCCATCTGCCTCTTACGGTACTTTGTATTGCATTCATTAATGCTTAAAGGGATGCTAAACCGAAATCTGGATTCCACAAAACACGGCGGCAAAAGCGTGCAACGGGATGCTACAAACACCAAAACATCACCCATACAGCAATACCTCGAACAAATGACCGTTTTTTTCAAAAAAAGGAGGCGCATTTGACAGATATGTTTACATCTCGTTTCTCCGAGACCGGAGAGGGAATGGCCTCGCGTCTTCTTCGCCTTGTCGCCTTGAGAGGGCGAAGTGAAGAGATGAGAAATCGAGATATCTTGACATCACGCACCTTGTCGGCCTCGTTCAATCTCGACCTCTTTTTCCAAAAATACGAGTCTATTCGAGATATTGCCTTATAAGTAGTGTTGTAGGGATTGTCCCGCCTACATCTCCTGCATTGCTTTTTGAAATCCAAATTTCGGTTCACCATTCGTTTAAGAAACAAACAAAGCTAAGCCTATTTTTTTCTAAGGGAGCACAGGGAGACCGGTGGAAATCAGTTATCGAACGACAATTCATCGACATGCAATGTTTCATTAACAGATTGTTTCATCGACAGCTCAGATTAGCTTTTTTCTTCAATAAGCTGCATGAGACTTTCGCCGTGAAGCGGCGTGTACGGGTCGGTCAGGTGGGTTAACCTTTTTGTAATAACCCGCTGCAGACTGTCACCGCAAAGTGGCGTGAAAGCAGGCGGCGGGGGGGGGGGGGTTAACGTGCACCCCAGTAATACACGCGTGACAAAATTTCTCTACAGTGTGCAATTCGTGTAACGAGTTGCTCACTGTCGACGAAACGTGTGTCCATGAATAGTTGTCCACGAAACGTAATTCCACTAAACGAGTTTCCACGAAACAATGGGGACCCCAAGAAACGACATTTCAACTCAATGAAAAAGAGCATTCTGGTTACGTTACAAGAATAAATAGAACGCGACAAATAAGACAAAGGCAGGACGTTTTGTTACTTTTCGTTTATTCTTGTGACACTTCGAGCTTTTGCTCGAAAAAGTTGGGGTGTGGTCTCTAAAATCGGGATGTCCGCTTTCTCCTCCTTGTTGCCTTTCCCCTCTTTGTAGTCTTTACCTCCTAACCTTTTGCAATTTGTACTCCCTACTCTTAAACCTAGCATCCTCATGCTGGAAAAGAGTATGACTTCTAGTAGACGGGGTTCCCACGTCGTTTGCCAAGAGTACCGCTTGCTTCTCTGCAAGCCAAATCCACCGCTTGAAAGTCTCGCCTTTGACGGTTACTTTAATTGTCGGAAGCTCGAGTCTCGGCAACATCTTTTTGTTGAGATAGGTATGAAACTTGAGTCGGGCATTCCTGAATGACTCGAGAAGCAGATAAGATGAGATAACAGACACCTGGAACGAGAGAGATCTAAGGGTGTTGACTCCACAGGGGCGCACAATAAGTGTCTCGTTCAATGCCGTTTCAGACTTCTCGACAGCCGTCAAATGCCAGCAAGATTTGAGTACCCAGCCAGCATCTCGTACACCTTTCTTTTTAGTGAGATTCTTGATAAACAGGAAATTAAATGTGGCGTAATCAAAAAGATAAGGAACTCGTAGACCACTGCACTGCACTCCAATAACATATGTGCTGCCACATTGTTAAATTTGTGGCTTAATAAACAAAAGTATTGAAACATTTTTGACTACAAGATAAATTCTTTATTTCTTGCTGGCTGCTGGATTTCTGCATATTTTACAAATTCAAAAATTTAGAAAATTTAAGAGAATGTTGAAGTTTTATGGCAAGGATTGATTAGATGAAGCCCTTACTGCAATTTAGAACTTTACATCTACACTTTATTAAGCAGGGCATTTCAGAACTAGAACACATTAAAATTGCAGCAGAGCACATTTCTGCCCATTGTTTTTTTTAAAATTTTATTAAGGGCAGTATGTGCAATTTCAGTTGTAGGTTTTCAACCGTGTAGCGACAATATTAAAACCCAAACCCGTGCTGTGAATACAGAAATCCTGCAGTCTAAATTTTTGGCGAATTTAGTAAGTCTGGGAAAATTGGGGAATATGGCCGAAACATTGGAAAATCAGTAGGTTGTTGAACAGAGGTTACTTTATTGCATGCTTTTGTGGGTTTGTTTTCGGTTAATTAGTGGTCCTACACAAGCGCACTAGAGATTATGATCTACGATAAAACATTTTGCTGACATTTCTAGGACACCCCCTTTCAGGGTCGGATCCAGAACTCCATTTTGGGGGGGGGGGGGGGCGGAAAATTTTTAATGATACTATTCTCCCATTCTTTCTTGTGCAAGGGGGTCCACCCATGTCAAATTGCCCTCCGAAATGTGGGGAGGTAGGGGGGTCGACTTTAATTGGGGAGAGGCAGCCGCCCCTTTCGCCCCGCCCCCCCCCCCCACCCCCTTTTTGTTTAATTAAAAAGTTATAGTAGATCGTTTAGGGGAATACAAAAATGCAAGTATGGTGGGTAGCCCGAACTAGCTCCACTTGATCTAACCATACTTTGGCTGATGGCCCCAATCTTTATTGTTCCATTTCTCTTCATGGCAGTTTTAGTATATTGTTCATTGGATGTTCAGCTTGCTATCTCCTTGAAAGGCATCTTATTACTGTTCAAGGTGTCACAGGGATCTTGGTTCGACCCCTGTTCAGGAGGCAGTCTCCCCTGAAATGGCTCATCTGTACCAAGACAGAACCATGGGTTAGTCCTTTTTCAGCCAATTTAAAGAACAGACCTTCAGAGGGGCTTCAGCTCACTAAATCCTGGAACCATGAATGTAGCTGGAGTTTAGTGTTGTGGCGTTCAGTACGTCCTGAAGTCGTTTCCTAAATCTCTGAAGTTTAGGGGCTATGGTCACGTGGGTAGGCACCAATATGTATACTGTGGAAGCTGCAAAAATAAAGGGTGTTGTTACTCTTACTAACCTTAGATTGCTGTTTGCGACATAAACACTACCCTGCTAAGTTGCACTGCCCATGACCGGCTGATGCAGCAATAGACCATATTAGTTGGCTCAAAATTAAATTGCCTGGCAACCAATGCTTGAAACTCCCCCGTAGTATGTGGGTAGGGGTGTTGGTTGGTTGTGCTAGAAACACACAAAGCAGACTTGACTAGTGTGTTAGTGTAGCCCGGCATTTTTTTGTAGGAAACAAGAATGCCTGAACTTGAGTGGGGGAAAATCAGGTCATGTCTTGTAAGAATCAATAGTTAAGATTGTGGCTTTGTCATTACCAGAGGTATGGCAAAGGTTTCAGACCCCCCCCCCCTATCAGAATTGTTGGGGGGTCCAAAATCCTCCAAGAGCTCCCAGACTTCAAGCACTGCTGGCAACCTACTTTCATCTAAAGAGGAACATAAATTTGCTCGATGTGTAAAAAAGTGTTCGGTTCTGTCTTTAAAATGTTCACCTTGTCAGTTTCCTTGGGACTGGGACACCGTTGGTGGGGACCGACTGGAGGTAAAGAGGAACTGGACCCAAGACAAAATAGAAAGTCAAGGCCCAACACAATTTATTTCACAACTTGTTGAATGTGCAGTTCTGTTTTTTTTTATACACAGGTCAGCTAGGTGCAAATTAGATGTGCTACTATGCACTTAGAATATACAAAGCAAGTCCAGCAGTGCAGCTTGCTTAATATCTTTCATCCAGTCTGTCAACCAATTGATTCACCACAGTGAACCAGTCATATTTATTGCACTTTCTCTACATATAATTTTCAGTCAGAGGGCAGGTGCTACCATCTACATGGCACAATATATGAATTTACTGGATCTGACTGCATGTGGCATATGCACAGCAGGTGCAAAATTTATGCCATGGATATATACAGTATACCTTCCAACTCTGTTCATTCATGCAACAATTGCTCAACACCATTCTCCAAGTGGATGACTTTAAGTGGAGCCAGCAGAATTTCACTTTGTACAAATGTTTTCTGGCATTGTGGTGGAACACACTTCTTATACCATCCAAATAATTGAGACTGTTGCACACTGGTTCTGCACATTGTTCCTCAAGCTCTTCTACGAATAACTTACCTATGGGCCTGATAACAAAGTGGGAGTATGGAACATTTTGTTTTTTGGGGTTCTGGCTTCTAAGTGTTCCAGTTTAAAATGGCCATAAAACATGAAGCTTGGGGATGCAAAGCAATGAAGGGTTCAAAATAACCCCACACAACCATCATCTAGATCTGCTGCTGTAACAAACAAGATTGACTAAATGACATCTTTTAGTGTAAACATCTTGAACAAAGAAAGAGCCAATAATTACTAATTACATCAGTATTTGAATCATGCTGGGGATGGAGAACAACAAATTAGCAATGGTCGCACATCTTTACAAGATGACCATACAATTTATGAAGGGCACACGTTGCCTTGAGACTAATGTAGCCACACAAGTAACTATGCTAGGCAAAAAGGAACTCTTAAAAACAACTAGAATAAACAAAAAGCACTAAAACAACAAACAAGGCTTTAAAATTAATAAGTATAGCAACAAATTTATATTGCCCTATAATGGCATCCTTTCACATTTTGGGCACCAAATCAAAAGTATAGAATTGTATTAATTTTAAAAATGAATAGAAGAGAAGGCTCCCTCCAAGCTTTATAGATGCTTTCGAAATTGGAGTTCTTGAATGCACAAGGCGCAATGTCGAACATAGCACGTTTTGCACACCCCCTTTCCCAAGACTCGTGAAAACTGCAGAGCCCCTTTGACGCCAATGACTCCAGCTTTTTAAATATACTTTGATAATATACATACATATATACATGCATATATGTCTATATATAGTTTTCTCGCCAGGTAGTATATTACAAAGACAGTCCATCTAGTTTAGAAAGGGCTGTCCTTTAAACTTCCTCTTATCGAAAGAAAAAAAAAAAAAGAAAGGAAACTTTCTCACCGGTGTCAACAATTTATGAAGGAAGCGTAAACAGACTCATTTTGCCGTATCGCATCAACATTGCACACACACACACACGCACACGCACATTTGTTCAACCATTTTTCAAAATGCCACACCGTCCGAAGAAAAACCAAACCTAACTGCTAAAGCTGACCAGGCTGCTCTCTCGCCCGTCGGCAAGAGTCTCGGCAACGCCGTCCAACGCCGCACCGGCCGTCCACGGGCACCGAAACGATCGACGCTCGCTCGCAACCGCACTGCGACTGCTCCGCCGTCGTACACTTGACCAAACGTCCCGAGTGAGTGGGACGCGACGCTTGCGGACCAACTTCCTTTGTACTTGTCTCCAGACTCGAGCCGGCCGAGCAAAGCGACGGCTCGACGCCGGCGCGAGGTGTTGCGAGCGTGGGCCACGGGGGAGACGGCAAAGTGTTTGTGCGGTCGGTCCCCTCCTCGTCACACGTGTGACCTATGCGCCGCCTCCGCGTTGGATGCCTGCGGGCCTTCGTCTTCCTCGGTGGTCGGCTGCCAGAGGGAGAAATGAGAGTAGGCCGGGCCCGTCTTGGCCCGGCGTACGCTCCTCCACGTGGGCCACCTGTCTGGGAAGGCGGGCGCCGGCTTGGCGTGCCCTCAGAGGCGCGAAGACTGCGTGGCCGCCTCGTAGAACAGGACGTACGCCTCCGATGAGGCCACCCGCGAGGAGCTCACTTCCGTCACCCTGGGAGAGACGGCCGACCAATCAGAAACGAGGCTCCATGGGACAATTGATTCTTCAAAAATTTCCACACACCCGGGTCGCCGTCTCAACCTTTATCTGAATTTCATTTTGACGAAGATGCTACCTTCACGTCTCTGCACCTATTCCTCACCATTCTTAGTCAAGAAACAACGTTTGAAGACTGTCTCACAGTTGAGTGCAATGACAGCATCTAGTTTGCTAAGCATTTTCACACTGTCAGTCAAAGTCCAAAGCTATGGCAAAACACACAATGTTAGAATCTCATGTTTAACTAGCTTTTTACAATCGTCTGTCACCTAGCAAGGAGCCCTAAAGATTTAGAAGTGAATGCCGCAGCAATAAACACCTAAATTAGCAAATCTCCCCCAATACTACCGCACGAGTCAAAGGATCGATGGCGGTTAGAAGGGACCGTATAAATCAGTTTCTTAACTTATAGTGCTGGGATTTCCTACAGAGGTGCTCGAAGTTGGTGCATTCATTAATTAGAGTATGAATACATAAAACATCCAAAATAAAATTTAAAAAAAAGCTGTTTTTTTTAGAAAAATTTTGTTGCTAAGCACTTTTTCTCAGAATGATTAGAAAATCGTTCTGGGCTATTCTGGCATTTATTACGACTGAAAAATTGGTAAAAGTGAAAGAAAATACAATTGGCTTGCCGATTCTCCACTTCTTATAGCCCAAATAGGTGCCAAGGTGACAAAATATTTTTTACAAGGGACACTGACAGGGTATTTATGCTCGCCAAGGTTTTTATTTGCACATGACATATAAGAGCCCATTTAGCCAGAAAACTATTCGCGGCTCGAAATTTGTTCTCTTTCCACCCGAAAACCGCCGATCGAGAACTGGCCGGTTTGAGTCACGCTCACTCTTCTTTTCTGTGGTCACGAGCCGTTTTCTAACGTTTAGACACAACCACCAAATGTAATGAAAGTCGTTGGTCATCGAAGGCACACACACAGTTTTAAGAGTAGAAAAGAAATATGGTACCAACTTTTTGTGGCTTCTGAAAAGCTGCAAACACGATTGGAGAGAAAAAAGCTGCACAGCCACGTGACTTCTGCCAACTCTCTCCTCCTCTATATTTCTTCCTCCCCAGTCCGGTTTCGAGCAATTGCGTATTTTGACTTTATTAAAAATATATGCGAGGCTCTAGCAAAATATTGACTGGTAGTCTTCCGACAGCAAAATGAGGTGGCTGGCAAAAAATAAAAAAATAAATTTTGGGGATGTCAGGTCCCTTTAAGTGTAGCATAAAAGCTAAGTATGGAGAAAACAGTTTTTGATTTTTTTTTTTTCATGATTTACTCAGGTAAGCCAATCTTTCCACAATTTTAGCGAAAGCTTCCAGTACCCTTGGGCACCTCTGTAGTAAATCCTAGCGCGATACATTTAGAAAGATATATGCGGTCCCCTTCAAACAGCCATCAATCCCGTCGACCCACCAGGCAGAATATGTAGCTGCCATCTCTGTTTGCATTTGGTTCCAGATTCGGCAGAAATAATAATCCCACTACTTGTAATAATACTGTAATAGTATCCCAAAAACTAATCTGCCCTTGGAGATAGCCTACTGCTGCTTTCCATCCATGTATTATGAAAAATCTCCGAAAGCAAACCCGCTCCTAGAAATTTTGTCTTCTACAATAAGATCATTTGTGTGACAAGTTATGTCAACAGTGTGACTGCTCCTCTGGTAACTTGCGAACACGACAGAATAAACAAACGGTCTGACAGTAATGCAGAGAAAATCAACCTGCCATAAAATGCCGAGCATTTGCCCAAGTCACGGTAAGTGCCCACTCGCGGCTTCTGAAACCTCCGAAAACTAGGCAAAGGGCATATCAAGCACCCACCCCAGACTTTTGAACCCACGTATAGTCGGTGACAGGTTAAGAACAAAGTGTAAGCCCTCCCGCCTCTTTACACATTACTAGAGCAAAAGCTGGAGAGGAGACATCCTTTTTCTAGTCCAGCGTTCGCTCTGGTAAGGTGGTAAACCTATCGCCGACTATTGGAAAGGAAATTGAACTACAGGAAGCGCAATGTCCAGCTTGTTTTCCCCAGAGCTCTGGTTTTACCAACAGAAAGCATGTGCATTAGATTGTTTACTTAATTTCTCTCGATTGAGCGTGGGGCGAAAAATGGGCACAAGTCCTGCCGCATCTTTTTTTTCCCGCATTCGGTCGAGAAAGATGAAGTGTAAAAATTCATGCGACGCATCCACGTTCGGATTCACCGATTGAACATGAGCCTCAGCCGAACGCTGACGCAACGTTTAGCTACATGGGCCGAGTGCTGCTCCTAAACGCAAACAAATCATCTATGTTGTTGTTGTCCCCATCAGTGCACTTCTCACTTTAGTCACTAGGGGCATGACGATTGAATCTCCTTCCTAATTGCTAACTGACACGCTCCTCCTCATAAGCCACTTCTCCGAGCACTCCGGTGCAAAGAACCATGTAAGGCAAGAGTGGATATTGCAGTGTCTGCCCAGCTGTACGATACTATTTTTTTATCGATGCCTTCTCATGTTGCCAAACACGAATAAAAAGGGGCCGCACGAGTGGTAGCTGCAATATTGAAACTGATGTAACAATTCTACAAGATACTTCCTCCCCTGGCGACTGTTTCAAGCGCCATGACCAAGGACTTGCGTGACGAGACATCTTGGTAAGCACCGCACAAAACTGGGGTGTTTTCCCACCAAGTAAAGTTTATAGTCCAGTCTATAAGCAAAGTAAAAAGCGACCCTCACTTGGTGTCATTGCACTCGTGCCATTCCCCGGATTTGGGGTGCAAACAGGTGGCGGTGTAGTGGCCTGAGTAAGTAGACCCACTGTGGTTTGAGACTGCATACAGGTTGTACATCACGTAATGACCTGTAAAGGAAAGAAGGCCGTGAGAGTCGTCCAAGCAAGGTGTTGCTACAAAAAAGCAACAGTCTTCTAAGGCTTCTGCTGGTGCTGCAGAAATCGAGGGCAACTAAAATACCTTCAGTGCTTTATGTTGTACACGACATAATGTCCAAGGAAAGCACTGTGTAGTGTACAACTGCACAATACCATCACGGGCTAGTCTGGGTGATCCAGTGCTGCTGTCACGTTTCATCTGTACCAAGCACAATGAAGTATACTTATTCTCTTTGCTTTCACTGTTATGAGTGCATTACATTGTACTAAAAGCAAGCTAGGTCTTTTTAAAAAAAGTTTGGTTTACTGTTTCCTTTAGTGCCTGCACTTGAGAGAAACCATTTGATGATGAGCAAGATGATGAGGAAGATCATCCCTGCACTCCTGGATTGGTTGTCCCGTCACGTATCACCCTCCCCTTTCTAAATATTAAAAATAGCTTTCTACCTATCCAAAGTCCCGAATCCAGCGGTTTCCACGTCTAGCACTATTATGAGTTGCCAAAATGGCAGAAAGCAGGGTGCACGGAAGCTTGGCAGATCGGTTTGCTTGTTTTTTGTCGTACAACTTGCCTATGCACGACGTCATCCAAATCTCATAGCTTAGAAAATCGACAACTGACCTGCAGCCAAAGTAAACCAGGTAATATGTTAGTTTCTTTTTTTTTTTTGTGTGTGTGTTATTTCTTATAATTGGCAGGCATTTATTTCTTGTACGATTAGGCCAACATCACTTTCTACAGTTTCAAAAAAAAAAAAAAAACAGGCCAGACTTGCTGTTTGACATTTCTGACTGCATATCCTCAGAAAGATGGCATTACGAAAACTGGTGTGTATAACAGTGATGGAAGAGACATTTGACTTTTTGTAGCAGGCCAAATGTTGGCTCGGAGCAGCCATTGACCCTTTGCGAGCAGATCCCAACGCGCATTAGCACGTCACTTGAAAATTAATTGATAAATGCACCACAAAATGAGCCAATCTTTGAAAATGATGCAGGGTTTTTGTTTCATATTGAAGTGTTTTATCTATTACCTTTTGCAATTATGATTCCTATAAATAATCATAAAAAGTACAACATGACACACAACTGTCTTTTTAGAAATAAGGCTCAGATCAAAGTAAGTCTCATTTACAATGAGGATTAAGAAAAGAATATGGTTGAAAAATGAATCCTAGAGAGATACTTCAGTTGAGATAAAGTGTCTCCCACTCCCTCTTTTACGCTCATAGTTAATGTAGCCCATGAATATCATTTATGTAAAATTCTGGAAAGTACTAGTATACCCACTAAAATGTCGCTCAATGAAAATGTTCCACCAAGATTTATGAACCTGGAAAACTTAAGTACCTAATATCATAAACTAACCCCCCCTCCCCCCCTCCTCAATATTACCAAAAATTTAAGTTGAGCATTAAAAGTGACACTTCTAGTTCTGCAAGAGTTGGCAGCATTGGGGCCGGAGCTGAGTGGAGTTCGAGACCCTTGCAAGAACCCCTACCCTGTCTACTTATTCAAATATAGGTCCGCGTTTCCTGTTGCCTTTTCTTTGTCGGCACTGCTCTTTAAATTGAAAAGTCGACCTACAATCTAGACCAGAAAAAGGTCAATCTGTAAAAGTGCTCAGCATCATTTCCGAGCCTATTGCGCTAACCCATGGGCGTTCCCCCGCATAAGCCACTTCTCCTAACGCACCGATGCGACGTGTTGAAGTTCAACACACGTATGCCTGTGCGAGGTGGTGAAGGTTGACACGAGCAGCGATTGTGCCAAGGCGTGAGGTACATAGCCGAGAGGAAATTCAAGAGATCTCATCAGGAATATAAAGCCCTGGTTCCGTCTTAGCACAGCAGCCGCTATACAACCATTTTACTAACTTTTCTCGCGACTTCTACGTCCGTGGTATCACTGACACCGTCTGGAACTTCAGACGATGACGGGGCCAGCACTGTAGACGAGCAAATTTTAGCTACTGTGAGTGGAAACCACGAAGTGCAAGCTTTAATCGGTTTCCTTCTTTTCTACGTTTTTCGAAATTAGTGTCAACCAATATCATAATATTATTTCTTGCTTTGCTTAGGCTCATCTGGAGCAGGTGTGGCACAATTTTGAGCAAAATTGGCATTTTGGCACAATGTGTAGCAGACTTGCGTTCATGGTGCAATTTAGCACAAATGGCACAGCACTTCTATCACTGCTATAGTTCTAGTTCGAATATGCAAAATGCTGTAAACAACTGATAGTTTGTGGTACTTCATTGAGCTTCCTTGAATTTTGAAAATCGCTGTCACAAGTTCATTATGCAAAGAAATGCCCATCATAACAAGACATGAAGTCTACACAACCATTTGCATTCGGTCATAAACCTTTGGTCCTGGAAAGTGTTCCAAAAAGTAACTCTAAAGAATTGAACCAAAATACATTTGCCTTTAGAGCAACCTAGCTATTGCAGCATTGCGTCGTTGGCCAAGGCGTGGAGGTACATGGCCGAGCGGCCTTATGCACCTGACGTCCGATATTGATCACCGCAAGAGCGCGATTTAATTTGCCTCCCGCAGAGAGAGCGAAAAATGTTTGTAGACTATTCCACTGCTAATGCGAGCAAAAGGTGCGGTTAGTCTGCTACGAAGTGTCATTAGCAGACAAAAATAAAACCAGAAAACATCATGCATCGTCTGCTACAAACTGAACACTGTGGTGGAGCAAGATCGGACGCGGGCCGAAATTGTGATCATCTGCTAATTCACGTTGGAAGCCATATTTAATCCGTGCTTCTTTTGCAAACCCCAAGTTGTTCTGCTGCCATACACAAGCTGACATAGACCGGTGGATGAAGGAGTACTAAGAAGAAGCACATCAGGTGTCGCGAGACCTTTCCTACTATTTGTGAGTTGGCGAGGCGTTCTTACCAAAATTTTGCCCGATTGTGAACTCGCAAACAGGTCCAAAATGTCTCCATGATTGATTACGCGTACGCTGTGGCATCACATTCAAAGAGCAGCCGAGAACGCTCTCACTCTTACCTTGATCGAAATGGGACCCCTGGAGTGTTTCAGATGCTCGCAAATGTGTGAACTTTGGAGTACATATTCCGAAAACAAAAAGCATTGCTTTTTCTCCGACATCCAAATCTTCCGAAAATACTTTGCATAGTGCATGAACTATAATATACCTCCCTGAAAGTGCCTTTGAGGCTGAATAAAGAAACTGAACCATATAGGCAGAACTTGTGCTTTTCTTGACATAACTAGTAGAGTCCTCACTCTCTACTGCATGTAAAGCATGCGAGACGATAAACAGCAAGAATTCCTCTGGCCAATGCCCCGCAAGTTTAAGAGGCAGAGGGAGAGAAAAATGGTAGTACTCACTGTTTGACATGTATGGACAGAGGTCGAGATTCGTCAGCGGGAACTCGACGCGAGTGTTGAGCTTTGCGCGGAACCTCTCGCCCGGTGAGAAACGTTTCAGGTCTGAGTCGGGCAGTACAGTCAAGGGCCACGGCAACCAGGTAGACACACTCCTACAGCTAACGGCCGTTTTGCTTTTCTCGAAAAACAAGAGAATTTTTAAGGGACCGACACCTGGCGTATGCTTTGTACAAGGACGGCGCAAGTTGCGACAGCCACGTCCAGTTCATGCTCTTGGAAGCCGAACTGCGCAAGGCACTGATCTAGGTTTCTTAAATTCCCAAATCAGTTTCTGCTAGATTTTCACCTAAATCATGCGCCTGAAATGTGGACCAAACCAAAAATCCCCTGTGAAATATCTTCTAAAGACTCGACTTTATTTCACATACTACCGACTAACGGGTCAAAGTAGGACTCGCACCCCAGCAACCCTCTTCTCTATTGCAAATTTTTTCGAGTTCCCAGGGGCCCCTCTAGGCGGCGCACTATGCATTGCAAGCCACATGCTGTGCCGTTTGCATTTCATTAGGGCCCAATATCACATGTCCAAGAGGGTATTTAGTCATTCTTATAAAAAGCCCGCGATATCACTCGAAATTGCAAGGACATCCAGTTTGCAACTTGGCAGCCTCCTGCATAAACAATAGCCTCGAAATACAGCAAAAAGCTGGTGTCACGTGGCACTTTAAAAAAGCAAAGTGAGAAAGCAGCATGGCAATCGTATATGAGCATTATCAACACACTCAGAAAACAGCATCATTTCCAGACAGACCAACACCAGTGAAGGATACGAAGCACAAGAATTTTTGGACATCTGTGGATGGTGAAGCTTTTGGTACACCTCTGCCGAGTCTTGCAGTTCGAGCAGGTCTGCACAAGAGGTGAGAAAAACAATAATAAGTAAAAGGCCGACACGCAACAATAGAAGAAAAACGGCTCCAAATCGACTCACCCACACTTAAGAAAAAAAATATCGGGTAGGCTGTGTATATGGCACGGCCGGAAGTTTTTAGGCATGACGTCTACGAGGTCGGTCTAATGAACTGGAATGCATGTATCAAATATAGAAGATTTTTTCGGAAGTCACGGGTTCAAGTATCAAATGGAATGCATCTATTTGTTAGTCACGGAATCAATCGTACAAAACAAATATTTAAACTTGAGGTAGATTAGTACAACTAAACAATACGCAAGAAACCAAACCACTGCGAGGTCGCTTTTGTTTCTGGGCGTTGTTGTCTCGCTTTTATTGTAAATACTTTTGTTTGATTAATGCCTCGTTTGCTCTGGACCGCTGTGGCCACGCTAGACGTAGAAGGCGTGTTGTAAGATGGCGGCGTAGGTGACGTCATGTCAGCGTCGGACATACTATGATCATCTTGTTGGGTGCACATCTCTTGAATGGATGGAGATATCTCGATCATTCTTGCACTATCCCGTTTGGCTTGATGAGGTCTATCCATGTTCAACATTCAGCGATACGTATACAATAAAAACGAAAGCCGAGGCCTCGCCAGTCAATTTTAAGCTTAAGTTTAAACGTTCGCACAGAATTTGTAACGCAGTTATTGTCACAAGTTGTATGCTACAGTCAGTGACAGGTTAAGAGTAAAGTGGAAGCATAACATAACGACGTGAGGACAATTGCTTTCTGGTTTATAGTCGCAGAGCAGTACGCGGTTATAGCAAGGTCTGTTTTCGTTGCACCATGTTTATCTACATACACCCCTTCACGTGAGACATTGTCACGTCAAAAAAGATAACCCATCCTTTCTGAAGGCACTCTGCTTTTAGACTCATCCGAGTTCATTTGAAGCATTAATGAAATAGGGAAACCAGAAAGAGATTTTCAGTTAGGCTGAAAACGATTCTGTGCGTATGTCAACACTTGGGAAGCATAAGAAACTTGAATGCACCAATTGGAAATTTTATCCAACATACAGAGTCGGGAAACAGAATGTGCTGTGCGTTCTGAGCTGCCCTGAGTGCTTATTTATGAGCGTCTCTTAGCTCGGAAGACATGCTGAATGCAACGTGTCTCACGAATTTATCTGTAGGCTTACAATCGATTTAAATTTATTCTAGTGCCGAGGGGAGGCCGTCTTCAATGCAAAGTATCGAGGCAAGTTCAAACGTTAGCGACAAACCTACGAGGAGCTGCTGCACTTCCTTTCTCTGGTGACTACGGGTCACACGATCACGTGGCGTGTCTCACTACGAGTCACATGCTTGTTGCGACAATAGGGCATGTGACCACGTTATGCGAGCATGCAAAACAACGCTGCATGTCCATGTGTAATGACATCACATGACCACATGTAATGACATCATGCAACATCGGGAAATGACGTCGCACAACCACATGAAATGACGTCAACAATACCACCCTGTCACATAGCTGTAGCTTATGTGATGATGTAACGCAGTGGCCCTAAATGGGGCTCTATGGACCATTTGAGGTCCTGAAGGCCTTCTTAGGGTCCCCAAGGCTCTCAAACATAAAAGAAAAATTGTCTGTATTGATGCTGGCTGTCTAACAAAGATGAATGGAACAAAACATTTGCACCAAATGAGTAAGGTTGATTATTCTTTGTTGCAGAGCTTCAAAGATGCTGTTACTTTTCTCCTTTTACCCCTTTGTTGTTGTAATCACCCAATACCTCTCCCCGGGTGCAAAGCGTCACCCGTCACTTCTGCTAATCCAGAATGGGTCCCCAAAGCATCAGTGGTTGAGAACCACTGATGTAACATGTATAATTACATGATCACAGAACCTATAGTAATAACATGGTCACGTGACCTATTGTGATATCATCAAGAAGCAACCCATAATAATTATGCAATCATATAACTCCTTCATTGAGGCGACAAAGTTTAGTGTCAACACCAATATATAGTAACCATAGCCACAATAATCAAAGCCACTCCGCCAGGGCAGGAAATAGAGCATCAACTACTGAGGTCACTGGTTCGATTCCCCGCCGAAGGATAGTCTTCTGTAAAGACAACTGGCCAGGTTTTCATTCTTTAGTTACAAGATTTTGCGACTCTCTAGGCTTGAAAACCAGCCCTAAAGCACATCCTCTGTTCGAATGCAATAATGATACTTTGTACTAAGCTGTGTATAACCATAAACAAGTTTCGGCTAATGTTTTCAAGATCCACCTTCTGGGCATCCTCATGAATGTACAAGCCCGCAGTAAGATACTGCCGACTGACTCAAATTAATTCAACACTTTGTAATGGGCGTACCAACATCAAAATGAAATATAAGCAAAATCTTGCAATTGGACGACAAGGCATAGAGAAAACTCCCAAACTGGATGCAAAAGTTGGGCTTGTATTTTTTGGCAATCCTCTCCACCCTTCACGTCACCATCTACGCTATCCTGACCTATATGATCTACTATGCAGCACAGCATGGCACATGATGGTACCGTCAGTGCCGCCTGTTAAATGCTCCCTCAAAGCTCGATGTATGTACCAGAGCGAGGCCTGCTCTCCTAGCACCACTTCACTTACGTGCCGTCTGCTAGTGATGCTCGGCACACCCACGCGACAGTGGGTACACGGCACCACTTGCTGTTTGTGCAGCTGTATCTGCAAGCATAGCTTTGATTTTCTTCATATAGGTAGGTAGTTTGCTTGGCATGGACACTGCCCATTCAAGCTCATGATTGTGTTCGCAAGAAACCAACACCTGAAATGAGAGTTTCAGAGGTGCATGGGCAAATATGTTCCGAAAATTTTGAAATATGTAGATGTTTGCATAACGATGGTATTGTTAAAGTATAGCGATACCTTAAGTGACACGCACATTCAAACCCTCTTTCAATGTCACGAAGTGCCCAGCAGTTTGTATGGTGGGCGATATTGCAAGCTACAGCCCTTGTTTTCTGGTGACGTTTACACAAAGAAAACTATGCGAAAAGGTAGCCCCCACAAAAACTACCACTCGATTACTGGGTGGTGTTGTATACCCCTCGCGACAGCGGGTTTGCTGGCCATTGATAGCAGATGACAGGGAAGTGTGGCACAACGGGAGCAGGGCTCGCCCTCGGCGCACATCAAGCTTCGTGGAGTATTCAGCAGGCGGCTACGGCACCACATGCGCCACGTTGTAAATGGCTCATATTGGTCACAAGAATACCTTCAATGCAAAGCCTGCAACGATACAGCCCTCTTGCAGTAGAGAGCGAGGAAGTAGAGCAGTGCCAAGAACCGATTTCAAGTCGTTTCAGAAGAATGGCTTCCAAGGTCCAAATCACTTTTCAGAAGCACCGTCCTAATCCACCATAGACAGACAAAGGAGTCCACTCCGACCAGCCAGGACAGAATGCTCGCGGCACACTTTAACATACCCAGCAGCACTTGCCATTGCTTCAAGCCTGGCTTGCAGCAAATGGCAAATCCCTAGTTGAGAGTTAGCACTCCATCCTGTCCTGTTCTTCTTCCCATATTTGTGCTTGCACTACTTTATCTCGATATGCACAACGAATACCAACTTGCCTAACTGTCAACCTTATTATCCTTCTCAGAGCACTTACGGGCTTCTCGTCTCCGTCGAGAACTTCTTCTTTGGTGAAAAGGCTCAGACACTGCTGGATAGTCACAGAATCTGAGCTCTGCAAGAACAAAAAAATCAAATTTTTTTATTAACATTTTTTATTCAGAACAAGTATGCAGCACAGACTGCCCTCACAAGCATTCTCCCCCCCCCCAAAAAAACAGATCAGCTGAGCGAGATACGTCGAACTTAACCACTACTCAAGACGAGACTATAAATCAACAATTGTTCTGTTACCTTTTTAGTTAAAATGTACAGAAAATCCCTACGTCCCTGAAATGTACACCACAATATTACCTTTTAGCATGAGATGACCGCTGCACAATCATTGCAGTTATTTTCGTGTTTCAATCATAGGACTAAGGCCTCCACCTTCCTCCCATTCTAAATTAAGGGCGCAATGCGAAAAAAGTATGTAAAAAATTCTCATCAAAAGCGTTGCAAAAGCTGGGAGAATTCATGATTTAAAATGTTTCCTCTGGCTTTACAAGACAAATACACCAACAAAAAAATATACAAATGAGGTATCTTGCCTTGTTTGCATCGGTGTGTACCAAAGATGTCACCTGTTAGGTGGTGAAACTTTTTTTTTTTTCGTACTTGTTGCCACAGTAAACATTCTTAATAAAACATTTCCTTCAAAATTGTTATCACCAAGTGCTAACAATCGTAGAAAGTGAAATGATGTTAATGTATATAACTTCTATTCCAGGGTGCCATCGTATTCTTCGAATGAGAACAATCGCCAACACATGGGGTCGATAAACCAGGTTAACCCCGATTGCGCAATTTTGTTCTCGAAAATTATAAAAAATATGATGCCTTACTAAATTTGAAGAAATATGAAGCCTTCGACCGTACCATCGATTCTAGTGGAGGGAAAAATACCTGGACTGTGCACTTGAGTGAGTGTATGCTTTCTTTTGTATCGCTATCTACGGCCTGCCTCATACTGCAAGTTCTTGGTGTCCTCAACATCAAAGGTGATGTGCGGACATAGAATGCAGAGCTGACACTGGTCGCAGTAAAGGATATTGGGTTATTATTCAAGCGTGCAGTACAATCCACTTAAAATGATAATAAAAAAACCCCAAAAATTCAACCTTTACCACCAATTATCGTAAATCTGGTCTAAAACTGAGCACTTCTATACCCGTGTTCACCTCAAGAAAAAAGCAAGTTTTGCGCATTGTTCATACATGGTGGGAAGTAGTTCTTACGATATTTGGTTGTCGGAGGAAAAAGCTATGTTTTTTGGCGTTTGGAACGTGTAAGTCTTGATAAGGTAACATATATCTAATCTAAAATTCACCTACCATAGAATACCGTGCATCCGCCCATTCTGCACTAAGTGCCCACCCCCAAATTTTGAAACATCTGAAAATATATGCACAGTATATATATATACCCTATGTAAAATTGATAACCTCACATCCGCCCACCCCTCTTTTTTCCCAATTATCTTAAAAGTATGAGTGGGTGCTTGCTTGGTATTTTACAGCACATATATCTTAATTATCTGCATAAAGGGAGAAGTTACTAGTAATGCTCCACGAGAAGCCGGACTTTTCTTACTACGGTTCTTGAGGTGAAAACGGGTACAGTCTGGAAACTGATTGTTATAATCAGTAAATCGCCATATCTGGCATCATTATAAGTGGATTGCACAGCATTGCTGAAGGCCCTACCACCCAAGTGGAATTCACCGATAAGCAGAAAGTGTGCTACAAGACATAAGTGAGCTAAAAAAAACATCCAATGTGCAAAAAAATTTGCATCCCTTTTTTTGTTTCTGGTGTCAGATTTACCTTAAGGACAAAACAAAGAAAGTACAGTTCCCATAAAATTGCTGTATATTCGTGGCTTGTCATATATCAACAAGTATCTACATAATATTAGTTGTGCCAGTTTGTTGAGACAGCAAGAAAAAAATCGGTCCTAGGGGGCATCCAATGTCTCCGCTGCAGGCGAGAAATTTAGCCGGCGCAGTACCGCTGCTAGCCTGGGGTCGTTAACATCAGTATGATGCTCATCCAGATCAAAATCAGCAAAGGTGGGAGAATTGAACCCAGGGTCCCTGGGCTCTGCAGCACGAGCTTTTGCTCCACGTGCTCCAAGCTACGACCCACTAACACACTCTCCCACCGATGCCGCCTTCCCTCCAATTTGACTTTTTCATTTACAAGTACGAACATATAAAATGTGAAAGCCTGCCGGAGGAGTTTGTTTTAATTGCAGTTTGCTGTAAACGGGGGCTCTTAATTTGGAACAAGCAGAGTGCAACACAACCAAACAGTGAAAGTAGCCACTGTTTTAACCCCTTGAACCATTTTGGTCGAGCCTAGCCCGTCAATGTGGAGCCGTCCCCAAACTGCTCGGGACGAGTGTAGCTCGTCTGCGTTCCTCGGTTCACGCACTCAACCGTTTTGGACGAACCAGGCTCGCTCGAGGCTCTGCCAACCAATAGCAGCACCAAATTCTTTTTTCTTTTTTTTTTTTTGTGGCTAGAAACTTGATTTTGAAGGCAACAAATGTAATTTTGAAGACAACAATTAAGCAGTTGAGGGTCAGAACTTCTCCAAAATTAAGAGGTTTATGGCCATTTTTAATGGGCGATACGAAAAGAAAAAACATCAGTAAACAAACTTGCACCTAAAAACAAAGTACAGAGGAGGAGAAAAGGCAGATAAGGTGTCGAAACATTACTCTTCCCATTTAAAACCCCTCTGAATCGGTATGTCTTCTCACCTTGGGAATAGGAAGGGAGAGATCCCAGAAAGGATCGAAGGTGACTGACTTGTGGCCACACACGCTGCACTTGAGGGTGCTCTTCAGCTGCCCGACAAAGCAGTCTGCAGAGAGACAACGCCCCAATTTTTCGTCACCATTCCGCTCGACGACCCAACCTTCTTAAAATATTGCACAAATTAAGCTTTGATTGAGATTGTTTGTTTAACGCAGATTGTGCTACTATATGGCTGGCTCCTAGCAATTACCGGTAGCGTGCTCCTGTGACAGAAGATAGTCTTACGAGTGCTATGTCGACGCTAGGCTGGCACTTGTCTCGTCCCCCATTAAACGAGAGTCCCAATCAAACATGCTCAATCTGCACCCCGTGCTGACCTCCGGTGGCTAAGTTAGAGAGCCCAGTTCTAAAGCTTTGTAACCCAGGTGGTGTTGAGTGAGCATGTTCGCCGATATGATGAGTGGGTGTGCAGGAGGCGAGCAGGAAGTGAACAAGCGTGCGATCTGGAGGAAAAAGCGAGAAGTGAAATACCGTGGACAAGGCTGAAATGCATTACTGTAAGGATAGCGAACCTCATATTCCACTCCTGTTCGAGCATCAGCTAGCTTTCTATGCGAGACGCTGCGTGCGACGAGGTTTACACCGTTGAGGCACAAAACATGTACCAGGTTCATCTGTATGACGTCACCGCAAAGCAACGTGCAATACATTCTGTGCCAACACTGCCTTCATCACGATTGAGCGGGAAAGGGCCCGATTTTTAACCGTTACGTCATTTCTTACACTTTCTTCAGTTCATTTTAAGGTTGAAATTACCAACACCACCGCCCGCAAGTAGCCCCCCCCAGAGTTTGTACGGGAACAATGGCACTTACCGACTATCTTGCTGTCGTCGAATCGGAGGTATCGCTTCCAGGCCTCAGCGGCTTTCTGCGAGTCGCTGGAATGGAGTTACAAGGTCAGTTGAGAAGGTAGCACCACTGCCCAAGCTTTTTTATAGCCTCTCCAAAACCTGCACAACCTCACAAAGCAAGACACATATACAGGTGTGATACTGGACTGAAATTCAGTACTCCATTTCATGCTTATAAACCATAATATAGGTTTGTCTCTGAAAAGCCAATGACTTCAGTCAATAATTTTATAGAAAATGCAACCAAATGTACTTTAGTAAAAACTAAATGATTACCCATTTATAGGTAATGAGCACCTGTGAAAAATCGTTGGAATGTGGTTTTGTAATTTGTTTGATCAAGTTAGCTATGAACTGTGGTGTGAAAGCATGGCAAGCTTGTAGGGACAACCAGGCATGATCGTGCACACAAGTGTGGTGCTGGCACAATTAATAGAGAATGAGGGGAAAGTGCAGTCGTACAGTTTTTGGGCATTCAGACTGGCAAGGTTGTGACATGGCAAAGTTGCCAAGTGACAAAGCTCATAACCAGGCCAGCATTAGCCACAATAATGCAGATGACATCATAAATGTCCCAAATTGCATTTTACAATTTGATGGCCAATCCTGGAGTGCTTGCCAAAGTGTGACCATTTAAAACAATAAACAAGATAAATTTGTTTGAAACACAAGAGTACCATTATCATTCACATTTACTATTGACAATTTAAATTTTATATAGACCTAGCGGATACCTAGTGAAATATATAATATTTCGCTAGGTATCATTTGAGATGTTGCTGCCTATCCATGTTCATTATATGGACAGTTTAGAATTCAAAAGAACCAGGAAATAGAACAATATGGGCCTATCACTATCAAGATGCTTCATTGTTACTTGAATGTTTAGGCCATACTTTTTCATAAAAGTACATTTAGAACATCACAGAAAATATTTTACTAGTTCTTGAAAATCAATCCGCATGATGCACTGGTCACCTGCGTGCACATTTTATCCAAGGACGCAATGTAAAACAGTCTACAGATCAATGTACCACTCTGCCCTTTCTCCTATTTCTAATCTCGCCCGACCTCCTGCCAGGCTTGTCCGGTTCTCGAGAAATCTGCAACCTTCGACACTCAATGCCGAGCGCCATTTTGATGTTCCTGTAAATACCTAGTGTGCTGTAATCTAGGTTCTCCAGTTATATATCTCCCTCTGTCACACACGAGAGTTTATGCAAGACTAGCAACCAAAATGGTAAAAAGGAGGACTGACAATTACCTGAGGTTGTCGTCGATCTCGGTAGTAACATGTCTTGGCCTGGAGGTGATGCGGTTGATGTCCTCGTGGAGGCCTTGCAACAGGTAGTGCAGGAACTCTTGTGAATCTTGCTGGCTGCAGACGCAACATTGCATCCCATTCGGTTTACGCATGCTTCCTCGTGTGCGTCCAGTGAGGGCGGCACAGCTGATGGCACTACAGTTTTAATCCCCCAATGGCTCTTCGTCGTTTGCATGGTCCGAGGTTATACGACAGGAATCAGTTTGGTTGTGAAAGATCAGAAGTTGGACTTGCCAAATGCAACAGGGAAATATATAGTACTAACACGCAATTGAAAACTGTAGGACAGTCAGAACGAATGCCCATATCCCATCCACATGTAGCCGACTGGGTATCACCAAAGTATGTTTCTGTACATCCCTAGGCCAGCGTCGCCTTAAAAGGCGACGCTGGGCTAAAGATATTGCTCGTTGTAATCAAGAAAATTGTGCTAATGACCGTACATGAAGATTGTCTATGAAGAAAGATTAGGCCTTCTCTTAAGCTTTGCGATATGCCACGGTTTTTTATGCACTCTTGTGATGTCAATGGCACATTCAGACATGTTCACAAATAAAAGTTGCATGGAGTGGAGGCACTACGGAAGTGCCAGATGCTCCATGGATCCTAAGAATTGCTGATGTACTGGTACTAAGAAAATACTACAAACACCAGTGACAGTTCAGAAGCTTAAACACGACAGAGTCAGATGACCTAAAGTCTTGACTGCCTTTGACTCCAAACAGCCATTCAGAAATTTGGAGATGCCTTTTACGAGTGCATACCTTCTTGGGGATACTTGAAAAGGAGCCTTCTAAATATTTCCCTAAAAAAACTTCCAGTAGGCTGCTTTGCAAGTTCTTCTGCCAGCTTTGTCTACCTAATTCATACCTTCGGGGTTGTCAGTTTACGAAAGACAATATAAATTACCACTACTCACTCGCTGCAATGAAGCCATTAACTCCCAATTAAACACAATATATAGGCATGCAAGCTTTCTGGGAGTTACAATACAATAACCCTGTCACACCCCTTGGGTCTTAGTAGGAAAACCAGTCAAAATGAGGAAGTGTGTCATTCACCTGTATCCCATAAATCGGGGAGCAAATTTCTGTATCTGGCTACGGAATGCCTGGGGGCTGATGGCGTACTCCCCATTGCTGCTCCTCCAAATAGACTTCATCAGAGTAGCAAAAGCTGAGAAGGAGAGAGAGCGAGACAAGTTAGACCTTCCACAGATGCTGAAACCGCCTTCAATAAAAAATACTAACAATTTTAGGGCTTGCCAGGTCTAAAAATGTTCCAGAGCTTTCAAAAAAAAATATTAGACCAACATGCCGTTTAAAAACAAAACAGAATTTGCCCATATCGGGCTGCGTGTGCGTACAAACCAGATTCACGTAAAGCGAAGCATTTGTGCATGTGCCAAGCCAACAGTAGTGCCAACACAGCAGCGTGACGTTAGAGTCAAGCCTTTTGTCTGTATCATAAGGGTTTCTAATCTTAACAGGTTTCTAATTCTAACAATGATTCTAAGAAATAAACTAATTCCTATGTAATCAAAAAATAACTGTAGCTCCACAGCCACAGAGTTCCTATGAGTGTTTAGGGGGAATAGAGCCTGCACAAATTCTCCAAATGTAACCAGAAAGATAAATGTGACTAAAAGGGAGACTGGAAGCAAGAAACAAATACTGCCCAGTGCAGAATGCCCACCTTCAAAGAGGGCTCCCCTGTTGGACGATGTGATGTTGTTAATCTCAGAGGTGTAGCAGTCCTTGAGGCAGTACTCGAGCAGAGGCCGTGTGTGGGCCAGGCACTGGACTATGGAGTTCATAAAACACTGCGGGACAAGAAAAACAATGCAGGCGATCACAACCTTTGTCTGAGCATTAGTTCAATCTTAAATCAGCAAAATCTTGATGGTTGCTGATTTGCCTCAAAATTGACTCAACACATCAATACACAGTTGAACTAGCAAACCAAAAATAAAGTCAAAATACTTTTTTCTTCCGCAAAATATATGTGCAAGTTATGTAACATGGGATGTCACGCAACTAGAGCGTGTAGGGAAATTTGAATTTTGGTTTTGGCGGCACCTTTGTGTGCCATTTTGCTAGCAGCTATTCTGCATCTAGATGTAATAAATAGCATATCAAGAAGAGTAAAAAGAAGGTATTTAAAAAATGTAGTCTGGTTGGGTATTTAAAAACTGTTGGAGCTCCCCTTTAAAGAAAGAAATACTCAATGTTGCTAAGGTTAGATTTTGAAGGTCATGTTCCATAGCTTCAAGAGCAGATTCACTTTAAATCTAAACATCTTTTTCTCTAGGTTCATTAGTGTTCAGCTTTAATGTACTTACAAGCCAAATTCTAAAAACAGATAATGAATTTAAGCATAGGCGCCGACTACGGGGAAGCTCAGGGGACGAAGCCCCTTTACACACACAAACAAACACTACCCTTCTGGGAGCTCCTCGGGAAAAGCAAGTACAGGGTGCCCCCAAAAATATTTACAGGGTTTTATTCACTGCAAAAATAAACTATGCAACGCCGAACGGCAAACACGCAGCCAGGATTTTGATTCGGGGGCGGCCCACCAATGACAAAATGCTGTATGAGGAAAGGAGGGAGAGGAGACCCCAGCAAAATGGAACATTTCAGGGGGGACCAGGCCCCATGGGATCCCCCCCCTGTATAAATGCCTGCCGAACGGTCATTCTCCGCCCAAACATAGCCCAAGCAATCAGTATCAGATGCCAAAGTTTCACCACCAACCATTATCCTGTTCAAAAGTTATAAGTGATTTTTTGAAATTTTCTATGGGAAAATGGGAGCTGATGAACCTCTCATAATACATGGAGCTCTATGGCACCAGTTACCTAAAACAGGTGAAAATGGGCCTCATTTTCCCATTAAAAATATAAAAAAATCACTTAACTTTTGAATAAGAACAGCTAGTTCTGAAACTTCGTCACCTGGTTCTGAAACTTCGTCACCAAACGGTCACCAGAGAATGACCGTTTGGTAATATTTATTTTGGCGGTAAAAAGAAACCCTGTAAGACTTTTGGGGGGACACCCTGTACACTCACCTCGTATGTGTGCCAGGGCGTCTGAATGCGCATATCAACAAGACATCTTAAAAAACTCAATTCCAAGTGAAAAAAAAAAAAAAAGCAATAAAAAAGGGAACAAGCCTGCAGACGGCAGAAAATAAGTAGAAACAAACTCCTCCAGTGACGGCTATCAAGGCGGCGCTTTTGCCCGACCAAATGGACAGAGAAGGCCAAAAAAGGAGCTATGGGCACCCTACAATGGACATTTTTCAGAAGTCAATCAAGCAGTAGTGATGATTGCTATTTCTTCGGCACAAGGCATGTGATTGGAACCGAGTACACGCTGAACGCTGACGCCGCACTCGTTTTGAATAGGAGCCGGGCTGAGCTCATGCTGAACGTTGACACAGTCTTCCTTCACAAGCAAAAAGAAAGCAGAAGCAAGACAAGGGACTGATGAGAAAAAAAAAGTGGTCCGTTAACTCACACAAGCGACGACAGTGAAATGCCTTATTGCCTTTTTTGCTGAAAGCGGGGGCAAAGGTAAGCATGCCCCTAACACTAGTAAAAAAAGAAAAAAGAACACCCTTAAGGAAAAAAAAAAGCTGAACATGAAAGACAACGGAAAATTTACGTGTTGTCGGCTATATGTTGTTGTTCTATGGTGGCAACAGGTGGCAAAATATGAAGGCGACACCAGACGTGATCGAGAAGGCGAAAAGGCCTCAGCGACCGACGACCGCAGACTCTGACGCGCCTGGCTGCCTGGCCACCGGCTTACCGAGCACTACCCTGGCTCTGCGGTAGCTCTCTACTTGGGTGTTGTCTCAACTTTACGAGGTGGTGATGAGGAAGGCAGGAAGGGAGGTCTTCTCGTTTTAAAGCAATCGCTTTACGGACGACACTTTGCAGAAATTTCAACCTCGTACGTGGGTTCTGCTCCTATATTGTTGAACTACACATTGATTAAATTCGAACAACTATTTGCTAGATGAAATCGCATTTGTAACTTGGTAATGCGTCTTTCCCGTGGGAGGGGGGAGGGGGTGGGGAAATGTTAAAGGGCCCATGAAACAAATTTTGGGTTGGGACAAATCATTTTAGATTGGGATTTTACTAATAGCACATCGATTCAGTGGGCCAAAAGAAAAAAGGTAGAAAGTCAAAAGCCTGACTTTCAGTGAAAAAATTTGAAAACACAGCGGACTATTTCGTACATCCTTCCCTTCGTAAGCTCTCTGCCTTTTCACTGTGATACATCCGCGGTCCCAAAAGCGCGTCATCGGGTCCAAAAGCACGTCACACGAAACCGGACCTCACTTAGTCCCTTCACCCCTAAGCTGACATTGTGGTGAAAGCTACACGCCTGCCGGACCAATCAGGCGCCTCCCTTTCATCACCTGACCTCATTCTCTGCGCATAAGTATGCGCGAAGGAGCGTGATCACGTGGCAAGTGTGGCTGGCCCAACGAGCACGTAGCTTCCACAGCACTGTCAGCTTTGGGGTGAACGGGTTGGGGAAAGCAACTTTTGTCTGAATTTTGAGCGACGAGCTAATCTTCTAGGGGGACGATGGCTCTGTCCAGCTAGTCAAACCAGGTTCCGAGCAAGAGGGGCCTTTCCTCTTTTCGTCTTCTTGAACTGTTTGGTGGAATGCGGGATTTATGAGTTGAGGAGGAAAGCTAAACAGGAAAAAGTCGGAAAAGCGTTTCATGACCCCTTTAACCCTCCCACCCCCCACCTGGGAAATTGAAAAATTAGCACCTATGAATTTAAGAACCCCTGAACAGAAAAGCCCACATAGAAAAATTATAGTGCTTCTTCCGGAAATTGCAAGTTCTAGTCTCTAGACCTACGTTTCACTTTTTAAATTCAGTTCAATGGTTCCAAAACTTTAGAACTGTACACTGTGAAAAACATTTCTTGCTTGTCCTTGCTTTATATCCGAATGGCACAAACATAAGTCGTTTTGTAGCATGAGGGCAGGATGGGTGCAGTAATTCTATCCAGGACTCTATGCATGCTGTATTCAGAGGTCATAAAAGAGCACTTACTGTGTTTCCTAGATTCCGCAGTCCAAGGGGTGCCTTGTCCAGATGATCTCGAGACCTTGAGCTGCCGACACTGGCTCCACTCGAGCTTTCCTGAAACAAAGGGGATTGCACTCAATGGTACTGAAGTCCTACAGTTTCCCACACACCAAAGCCAAAAGACCTCTCATAATCTGTTTCTATAACCTGAAAAACACACACATGCTGCAGCTGAAGAAGTATGCTGCTGCACAGCTGTAAAAGAAACTCCTCAAATGATTAACATCAGTACAAAGCACAGCCACAATATGTCTGGCAGGCTCCCCTCTCTCATCATGGCAGGGGTGAAAGGCAATGCTTAGAGACATTCTTTTTTATTTCCACTGCCTGGTGCACAAAGTGGATCTGCTTGCACAGTGTCAGTGCAGGACCAACTTTTAGTGCGAATACTTTTTTCACTACTGCTTTACAGGAGAAGGGATGAGGACAAATCATGGTAGTGCTTACTTGCCCTTACTTGCATCAATAATTTGAGGTATGTACAGCCACATATCCAATGTGCTCCAGGCAGTTTGAAGACCACTTTATAGTACTCATGTCATTGACAAACCTACCAGAACCAGATCATTTAAAAGCAACCTAGTCTGTATAGAAATATTTGCAGCAACCCGTGGATATTCCCATCTTTAGGCTGATATTCTTAAAATTTTCATACGAAAATGCTTATTTTTTTTTAATTTACATTTAAGCAAAACAAACTTTCTTGATGCCCAAATAAATATGAAAAAGGTTGGTCTCTTTACAAATTATAAAACAGCTAAAACTGTCAAATAGCTTACAAGCATTCAGCTAGTTCTGAGCTTGACAGACAAGAGACTGTCAAAGGGAAGGCACATCGAATTCAAGCAAAAATTGGGGTTCATACCAGTCACTCTTCTCTAATAAAAAAAATAATAAGAAAGGTTTCCAAGTGAAAAAACAAACAAAAACAAGACAAAAGAACAATCGATTTCTAAAGCAAAGCATTTAATTCCAGCAGATGGTTTCTGTTTCGCTCTTCATCAACTCTGGAATGCATTGTGCAAGGCCCTGCCCACCATAGAAGAATGACACGATGCAAGTGAGAAGCCGCAGCAAATATAGCTGTTCTTTTTCTAAACACGCTTACATGTAAAAAAAAAAAAATAATAATTACTTTTTTTTTTGGTTTTTACAAACGCGCTTAGGCAATAGCTTAGGAGAGCTAGATACGCCAAAGACTACCACGAGATCTGCTAACGAACCTGGTAATAAAAGTAACACTCGGGCACCCCAGCACAACATAAATACCACGCAAAAACAAGGACCAGAAGATGCGGACAAAAATTCTGCACCACCTACGGTGCCACCACAACCGGTCGTGGGTGCCTCACACACAAACGGCATCGAGGGGCATATATACCAGACATACGCCCTGGAAGTTTTCACTCATCACCAAGCACCACAAGCAAACCCAGTGCTACCCCGGTGGCACCAAACACACCACTTGAACTTGAGCAGACAGAAAAAAAAACGTACGAGGAACTTCTTGCGCACACTCCACTTGATCTGCATGGCTCTGCGGATGAAGCCGGCTCGCGGCCCGTACGTCAGCAGCAACGTCGAGAACCGTTTCGTTTGTTCGCTCGCTCGCTCGCTCGCTCGCTCGCTCACTCACTCACTGTCCTGCCCAAATTCCAAGCGCTGTTTCACGGCGGTGCTGGGGCCTCGGGGCACGGTGGGAAACGATCCCGAGGGGGCGGCAGGTACCCACCACCAAACGCACGGTACAAGTGTGCGCCGGCGACTCCCCAGCACCCACTACGACGACGCTACAACCGACGGCCACGCGCGCTGCAAGCCGACTGCGGGCGGCAACAATCAGAGCCGCGCGTTCAAGGTCGACTAAAGGATTACTCTTTATCGCGTTGGCAGTGTGCGAGTTGCTCGTCACTCGCCGCGCAAGCCAGACTGGATGAAAAAGAATGGAAAGAGGGGAGAGGGGAGGCGCTTCAATAGAGCCAACTTGACGTGCGTACGTACGTACACAGCGGGATGGAAACACCGACAAGTGCCTCTACGTCACGGCTTCAAGTAGGAGCGTGCGTGCGAGTTCTCGTTTTCGCTCTCCCAGCATACAGTGGCGACCAGTTACTAGGGGTATTCCTGAAGGTGGTGCTGTTATGCGTGCGCAGGAAGCGTAAAGAGGAACGCAGCTCAGCTGGTGCGGAAAGAACCCGAGCGCCGTCATAGGCGACGATGCATTCCTTTGCCGCGACTTCCCAGGTGCGAAGTTCAAGACGGCAGAAAAAAAAACGAAGGACAAAAAAGTCGACGACACTCGATAACCGCAGCACGTGCTGCGTGTATGCGCCTTCTCGTACGGCAATCCGAGAATGTCTTCTTGTATTTATAGAATTGCGGAACGTCGTTCCGCTGTGCGTCATGGGCTTTAGCGACAAACTCGGCAACTGTACATTCCTTCCCTACTTTGCCTTGAACGCTCCATATATCTAATTAAGGGTATAAGCAAAAACACACACATAAAGAAAACGGAGCCCGCGCAAACTCTAAGATACAACGCTACTAAAGGCTGTTTTACGTGTGAGGCTTGTTTCGAAATCTGCACAAAATCATCACCTGTCCTCATGCTACAAACATGCTCATCTTTTTCGCTTTTCGCAAAACCGCACTAGCGCGCAAGTGCGGTTTTGCGAAAAGCGAAAAAGATAAGCATGTTTCGCGCCTTTGTAATAAAAAAATGAAAAAAAAAAAAAAAAAAAATGCGGAGATGAATTGCAATATTTGAATCAGCAGGGCTCGAAGGTTGATGTGTTCGGCACTATTCAGCTAGTTCAAATACGCAAAAAAAATAGTCTTTGCATGTCACAGAACATAATTTTCACGCACCATTATCGTGACAATCAACGCCTTCGCACTAAAAACTCTCTTCACACTGCATTTTACAAGCAGCGCCACAACCACCACACATGACGATGCGCAACTTTGTATCCTGAAACTAATTCGCCGAGGCACGTGGTTGAGAGGACGTCAGCGAGTCAACAGCCTTCAGCGTTCAAACGAAATAGCGCAAACAAGAAAAAAAAAAAATACTTTCCCATGTTTCACTCTAAGCTACTGAGAAAAGCTGGAAATCTCCTAATTCTGTATTTTTTTTTTATGCCTTCTGGGAAAGCTACGTGGTTTTAAACGATAAAAAAGCACACGTGTATAAAAAGCGCCGCGCTTTTCCGTGTGAATAAACGGAATTTCGCTCGTTCGACGTGACAACGCTGGAATCTATTAAATGTCATAATAGCCGGCGTTACATGTATATATATTTTAAAAAAAGATATAGTAATTAATAGTAGTTGGGAAACGGAATGTTAATTTAATGCCTCTCACATTACGCGACAGGGAAAAGTCACAATATGCGGAATGCGCTGAATATCGGTCTTCAGCGCACCTGCGGGAAACGCGCGGCCAAACGGGCCTCTACTTCCCGCGCTGCACGACGGAAACGCCGCAAAGAACGAGGGGGGGGGGGGGGGGGGGGGGGGGGGGGTTGAGCGGTACGGGCGATGCTGAAGCAATCAGTGCCTGGTTCTTTATGTTTAACAACCCTTGTTAACAACCAGTAACCGAAACTGGTTCAATTAAGTTTTTTTTTTTTAAGCATGTTGAAGAGCTATTGTTACTCGTGCAACACACGGCTGTGCTTCAAAGGCAGATAATTTAATTCCTACACATTCATTCGTCCCATCCCCTCCTCTAACCGGGAGCAGCACCATAATAGACCCGCTGAAGGGAAAGACGGAATAATCTCATCCACGTTTTCCATCCTTGGGCCACCGCCCACCACAGCGGCTCTACCTGAGTACCATGTCTTAGACGTGCTTCAAGCTGCAGCCATGGGCAGGGCAACGTCTGCGTCGCGCTGCATCCGCCGACTATGGGCGACGTGGCTCGGCCATGATTGGCCAAGAGCTGGCTATGACGTCTTTATAAAGATTTATTCTGCTTTCACGGATGGAAGGAAATGCGGGCAATGTCAGCGAGTCCAGTTCGATGGCGTTGCAGCTTAGCGTGCGATGACTACAAGCTTCCATCGTACTCTTCACACGCACCATGGACCTTGTCGTGCGCAACCGATGATAGGTAGCCGGGATCATACTTGGTGACGCCACGGTGAGGTAAATCCTACTCGTGACGCCTCGGATAGGAAATATAAAAGTGCGCTACCGAAGCATCTTTGCGTTAATAGAGCATTCCAATAATCGGCTTCTGCAAACTGCCATCTTGGGCTGTGGAACCACTTTGGAGCATGAGCAGCAGCTCTCCTCTATGGAGTATCCGACATCACGCATGCCTCCACAGCCTAGTCGCTCGTTATCTTTCGCCCGGGTAATAAGCACTGGAAAGGTATATACATGGGTCGTGTTGAGCTTCAAAAGAATGCGGACTATATGTATAGGCAGAAGTTGCACTAACATCCTTGGATGAGGATGCTTTCAACCAGTGTCTCAAGCGGGACCTTTTCAAAATCACTACCCGGAAGAGTTTCATGAAGCAGGTCCACATGTCTCCATCGCTAGGAGGAGCCTCCTGCTTGCAACCGCCGCGCGCTGCATTGGATCCCAAAGGGTACAACCCTGGTTGGTGCCCCCAACGACGGCGCTGGTCGCCCGATGGCCGCTGCTGCCGATCAAGTTTTTGCCGGTGAGGGTCCTGCTGGTGCTGCTGCACGAGGTACGGCTGATCCTGCTTGTGGGCGGAATAGCGGTGCGTCTGTCGCGGGAACTGAGGCGGCAGTCCTGCAGTCCAACGGGCCTCAGTAAGCGAACGAGCGATCGGGGGTAGCATCTCAGAACTCCGCAATCATACAATTATCACTAACTCCGCAACCATACAATTATCACTCTTCAAGGTGCCAGCAACCGGGGTAGCTCCGAAGGACATTGGGCACGTCGTAATTGAAATGAGGACGCCTGAAGACTATATTATGGGGAGCATGATCCGATGGCATAGCCAGGGGAGGGTTTCAGACATAACATAACCAGGGAACACGAGTTTGCGAGCCAGCATCTACGACGAGT